CCAGTATATGTTCTGTTGTATTGTGCTGTCGTGTGGCTCCTCTGCAGAAGGCTGGTATTGTTGCCCTGGTGAAGAAAAGGACTTCAGACCTGACTCTTGCTGTTGGCGATGGTAATAATGTTTGCTTTTGAAATGAATGACAATGATTAAAAGTGTGACGAGCAAGTTATTCTGGATCATTTTTCATGGATTAATCTTTCCTCTGGATAAATGGCAGGTGCCAACGATGTTTCCATGATCCAAATGGCTGACGTGGGAGTTGGAATTACCGGGCAAGAGGGCAGGCAAGCTGTGATGGCATCAGATTTTGCAATGGGACAATTCAGATTTTTAGTCTCCCTATTACTAGTCCATGGGCATTGGAATTACCAAAGGATGGCTTACATGATATTGTACAACTTTTACAGAAATGCAGTGTTTGTTTTTGTTCTATTTTGGTGAGTATTAATCTGCTGGACTCCTCCATACTGCTGCACTCAACACGTAGGGACAGAAAAGCTCGTGCTTGCACTCTGTGTGTACTTATATTGATGTATTCTAGCATCTGCATGGTCCTCAGTTCAAATAACTGAGTTTCTCATCTGCTTCCTGTAGGTTAAAAAGCTAGTCGCCTGTGCTTTAGAACATGTCGTAAAATTGTTTCACCCAGCAAATATTCATAAACATGGATAAAATTTCATTATGGTCGTAGTTGTAAACTGGCTTGTCACGTGACCAGATGGCATGTAGGTGAACTCTTGAACTTCCCAAATAGAGGCTACTAGAATGTCATTGAGTTTGAGCTATATAAATGGTCCTTTTAATTGCTCTTGTCCATTGCTGGGGTGATGGATACATTTTGTTTTTCCTCCTTTAGATTGAGAAGCTCATTATGTATATTACCAGTTAACTTGGGAAAGGTTTCTAAATCCAGTGTACATTACTTTTAGGTATGTGCTCTTTACTTGCTTCACATTGACAACGGCAATTAATGAATGGAGCAGCATGTTATATTCTATCATCTACACTTCATGTCCTACAATAGTTGTCGGAATTCTTGACAAGGATCTCGGCAGAAGGACTCTTCTCAAGTTTCCTCAACTGTACGGGGCAGGGCAAAGGCAAGAGAGCTACAGTTCAAAATTGTTTTGGTTCATTATGACAGATACGATATGGCAAAGTGTGGCCATCTTCTTCATACCTCTGTTTGCATATTGGAGGAGCACCATCGATGTATCCGGCCTCGGAGATCTTTGGACAATAGCATCGGTTGTGGTGGTCAATTTACACTTGGCCATGGATGTCATTCGGTGGACATGGATTACTCACGCAGCCATTTGGGGGTCTATTCTTGCTACGTGCATTTGTGTTATCATCATCGATGCATTGCCATTTTTATTCGGTTACTGGTACGTCCTCCTGTCTTCGTATTATTCCCACCACGAATATGCATAAGCACCCTCTTGCCCTTGTCAAGAACTCAGTGATACGCATGCTTTTTGGTTTGGTTGTAGCTGATATCTATTGATTAAGTTGCCTTTATTGGTTGGCCAAATAGCATAAAACGCAGTGAGACACATTATCTGCAAATTTTCGCCCTATACTTAGGCCAATCTTCATTGGATGGAAGGGCCTCTTCTCCTTTTTCACCTATGCTTGGTTAACCTGCGGCTCTTGATTATTTGCCTAGGTACCATTGTTTGGTACTTCATGGTGAGCCCATCTCTTGATTGTTTAAATGGAAAGTCATGAATAGACCAATGTAGGCAACTAAGAAATACACAGGATACCCATATGTTTTGGACCTTGATCATGAAGCTTTGGTAGCGTAATTCAGACCTGTTTTATGGTCGATTGTCATCTTAAGTAACTGATCTGCTATTACTCGCTTAGGTGGAAAATGAAATTAAGGTGGTTTCTACATTTTTCTGATGCTATATACTAACTACTAAGCAGACAGCTGGACATCAGGTTTTAAGAATTTTGGAATTGTTTTGACTCTTAATGAATTGAGGGAAACCAAAATGATGCTCCCACTGTTTCATGCCTCTGAAATGATTGATGCTGCACTTTCAATCTCAAATAAAGAGTCGACCTATTTTTCCTAATGTTTTATATCTGTGTATATCGACAGGGCCATCTTCCATATTGGTAAAACAGCAGCGTTCTGGTTATGCTTGCTCATCATTGTCGTGGCAGCGCTAATTCCCCGCTTTGTTGTAAAAGTTATCCATCAGTATTATAGCCCCTGTGATATTCAAGTAGCAAGAGAGGCAGAGAAGGTTGGGAATTTTCGGGAGCTGGAACATATGGAAATAGAAATGAATCCCATCTCGGAACCTCAGCGGAGATGACAAGGTGTTTTTTCCTTTTTTGTATTTTTTTTCTTTTGTAAGATATCACATTCTTTTGGCATCTTTAGGGCATATACTAGATGCCAGTTTCTTGTTGTTTTGCTATCCAAAGGATAGTGTGCATAGTAATTAGATTCGAAATTTTTGGTTTGTGTATCTTGTAAGCTCATTGAAAGTATGTCGTGCACCGTCGTCAGTGCAGAATGATAAATAGTCTTGTACCACTAAACGAAAGATGAGGAGAGTTTAATCATATTGACCATACCGGTTTGTCTATATTTATCGCGGTATCACGAATTGGGTAATTCATAGCTTGCTTAATTTCACTTTATGAAGATTCAAGGAAACTGGTGGCCTTAAGCTACTGTATATCTGCTCTGAAAATGAAAGCCGATAAGGGCAGTGCATGTGCGTTATCTCGATTATGTAAAGTAAATGATTCATTTAGTGAGCTCGAGGTGTGAAGATATAAGGAGTTAATAGTTACAACCGCAGGCACTTACCATAACATTCCAAGACATGCTGCACGTTATTGCTGTGTCTGTGTAAAAGTGAAATGCTTCTTTAAGTCTGGTGCGGAAGAGCAGTTCAATCAACCATCAAAGTCCCACTATGGTACCACCTGACTTCACATTTATGTCAAATGGTGGGTAAAGAAGATAAGTACTAGTTAATGCAATTGTTCTGAAAGTTGCATTGGGACCATTTGGCTTCACTGCACAGCTTTCACTGAGGATCAACTATATTTTCTTCTTCCAGTGATGATAATGAATGTGTGTCAGTGGACTTTCTTCTTCAGGTAGTGCAGATCCCAGGACACGAACCATCTTGGCTGATTCTGCCAATTCAACAGCTTCCTCCAATGATACTCTTGGGAAGAGAGAAGAAAAGAGAAATGGGGTTACTTCTTTTTTTCCCCCTTCTTTTAATTCTGTGCCAACTTGAATTGCACTCTACTTGTCTGTATACCTCCAGCTCTGAGAGAGCATTAATATGGAAAAAAAAGGGCAAAAGTACACTAGAAGTGCCATAACTTGTGTACGACGATCACTTTGGTACCATAATTTTTTTTCGGATCACTTTGGTACCAACTTTTTTGAAAAACGATCATTTTAGTGCCAATGCTGACGTGGCTCGCCGGAAATCCGATGTGGCGCTGACACGGCTCGCCGGAGAGGTCCAGTCAGCATTAAAAACAAAAAACGACGCCGTTTAGCCCGCTGACGTGTACTTTTAAAAAAAAAAATTAAATTATATTAAATAAATAAAAAGCCTGCAGCAGCGGCGAGGGCTCCCTCGCCGCTGCTGCCGCCAACCCACCACCGCTGGGAAGGGCCGGCGATGGTGGGCGCAGTGGTTGGGGCCCGGCGACCCTCGCCTCGCCCAGCGAGGGCCGGATCTGGCGAGGCAAGACCTCGCCGTCGCGACCTAGGCGACGGTGAGGTCTCGCCTCACCCAGCGAAGGCGAGGCCGACCTCGCCGTCGCGACCCAGCGACGGCGAGGTCTCGCCTTGCCCAAGAAAGGCGAGGCCGGACCTCGCCGTCGCCCGGGTCGAGACGGCGAGGTCTCGCCTCGCCGGATCCGGCCCTCGCCGACCACTGTGCCCACCACCGCCGGCCCTTCCCGGCGGTGGTGGATGGCAGCCGGCGAGGGCTCCCTCGCGCTGCTGCACTTTTTTTTATAATTATTTTAATTTTTATTATTTTTCTAAAAATTAAAAAATTCGAAAAAAAGTCACATAATTTTCACGTGTACAAGTCAGACCATTTTTTTTAATATAAATGCCATGTCAGCTTTTTGGCCGGAGTCACTAAAGTGATTTATTTTCCTTCAACTTGGCACCAAAGTGATCCGAAAAAAAGTTATGGCACCAAAGTGATCACCGTACACAAGTTGTGGCACTTCTGGTGTACTTTTGCCGAAAAAAAAGAGAGCATTAATGAGTGACTGACCCGATGTGAGTAAAAAAGCTAATAAGCTACATGAAGTGATGGAAATGAAGCTGAATCCTGTTTTTTTCCCCTTCTCCTGGGAGAGGGGAAGTTTAAAGTGAAGCTTTCATCTAAGAGGTACGGTACCTGTATTGTTAGACTTCACTTTAAAATATGACAATTTCAGAGAATATTGTGCAAGAAATGAAGTCTCATGAGCAGTTTACCCAAATTCCTTTTTATAATGATAATAATGAAATAGAAGAAATTGGTTTTTCATCGTTGATTATTCAATCAACCAAGTTCGATTTATCAAACAAAGCATTAATCGTTTGATTGAGTGCAGTATAAACCAAATGAAATGTGCAAATCCTTCAATATTCAAGAAAATCGAGCATCGATGGTTCAATGAAGATTGAGACAAATAATTGAGCATCATTGTGTCCTAACTAAGATTTGATCAAGACTAGGGTTGCAAATCAGATCCAATTCATGACGGGAAGAGAAAAAGCTTTTCCAGAAAGAAGTAAGCACCTATGTTTTTGCATGCTAATGCTTCAGAAACTTAAAAACAAATAGAATTCAGATTTCACTATCCGGAGCGCTCAGAAGTAGCAGTGCTACAAAAATAAGCGGTTGATATGTCAGATATTGCGCCTAAGATGGAAGGGCAACATATATTGGAAAGACGATAGAAGTAACTCCATTTTGGATATTGATGCATCAAGAGTGGCCTTGTCATATGGAAGTGTAAATTCACTTATATAATAGATCATTCCATATAAAAAGGTAAGAATCAACTCCCAGTAACTGGTGGCACCTGGCCCGAGATACGAAATGGAATTCTATGAGCTCAATCTACATATACTATTCAAGCAAACAGATTTCCACTGAAGAATAAACCAAGGAGCTACCAAAATGAATTTACAAACAAATCTTGAATTTGCTTCAGGAAATCAGTGGCGGATTCTGCCTCAGATGCTCTTCAATCTTCAAGAACGTATCTATTTCTTCGAGCACCAAAAGCAATTCTCTGACAGAAGGAAATAACAAACATGTCAACCAACACCCCAAAGGTATATGTAATGTGAAATATAACCAGGCTCTCAACGAACATAGAGAGGGGAATGGTTACTGAACTGAGAATATCTGGGTGTACGCTTTGATCCCTGTAAGAAAACGGATGTAAGTGGGTTTCTGTGATCCATTGGTCGGAACTGATCTGATATTTGGAACAAGATACTTGGCAACCTGTATTGTCCCAGAGCATCCACCAATAAGTTTAAGAATGGTAAGCGGAAAAGCACAAGGGGAAAGAACAAATGTAGAATAGACAAACAAGGGCAAGAAAAATCTTAAACAGAAAGTAATCAAGTACGAATATATATGCTCTCAAGCTTTTCAGTCATGTTCATCATGACGTGTCCACTTAAATATGAATTGATTATTATACAACTAGCTATCTGCATCACCTTTTACTTAGCATAACCTCCCAAGTACTTATTGTGCATATTCACTAAAGCTACATGCTCTGATAATTAATTCTCTCCAAACTAATATCTCTCTACCAATCAATCCAAAGTACAGTTTTAGTCCAGGTTGATGAATAAGATGCTACCACTTCAGCTGGTTCTGCCAGGACATTGATAAAGAATTTTGCCTGCAATAAGCAAGATATTACTTTCTGGTCCAATAACGAAAGAAAAAAGATATCCCAAAAACTGTATGACATTCTGAAAACCTGGTTTGTGGTGGCACCACACATGAGAAGATCAGTTGTGACCATTCCTGGCTGCAACAGCTCATTAAGTGGTAATAGTTAGTACTTGCTTGAGATCATCCCAGATAAGATATATCCAAGTAGGAGTAAGTTTCATCATTTCTCAAGAGAAATGTGCATGACATGTCTGACTAAGTTTCAACTTCAATAGGCAGAAATCATTGCAGAAAGTTGAACGAGTGGTGTCTATCTGTCTGTATGTACGTTGTATTGTGGTAGACATTATGGAGCCCGTTAATGGACCTCGAAAGTTTCTACTGCACTCAAGGCATCACTTTCCTCCAAATGATGCATTATCCACCTAATAAGTTCCACTATGCTATCGAGCTTCTTCAGATCCAACAAGCATGCATGAGCATGCAGAGAAAGGCAAAGCAATTGATTATACTGAATGCTTCAGATAATTTTTAAAAGTGACCTTACGGGTGAAATTCCTTTCAGCAGATTCCAATCAAAATTAATAGCCGATAAGCATAACCATTGTCGTGTCAGTATACATACGGGATACAAAGAAGCAAGCATCTGGAAGGACAATGGCTTGGACAAAAAAGTGTGCAGGTGTTATACCCTGCAGTTATTTACTCGCCGACCCATAGAGGTGGAAGCTCTAATAGTCCAAAGATATATCTTTCATGGAAATCAACCAAACTTTGTCTCTTGTACAAAGGTTTACATGCATAAATAAGAAACAAAGGAGATAATTTAGAGACCAACGCACCGATAAATTATGGACTAAAACATTTTTCACATCTTGCATCTGCAGCTCTGCCTGCAAAAGGAATCATAGGCTTCTGAACCTGTCAGTCTGATACATAGGTCCTTAGAAAAGAAAGATAAGTAGAATACATATCTGAAAGTCATCTTTGTAATTCATAGTGATTAAACATATGAAAGCAGATCCGGAATAGGACAACTAGATGGAAGGAAGCAGAAGCATCAAATGAAACATATGCCCCCTTCTTTCACAAGATTCTGTCAGGAGTAATGAGAAATATATAAATGCAATTTTGAGCCTCAAAGACATTTATTCAACAGTAAGTAATCAAAAGACATTTCAGGTAGCAGCATTCCACCATCAACCTCATTAAAATTGGCATCAAGACCTGATGACATTTCTTTTGTATGAAGACATATAGATACTGGCCAGCGTTTTACCACCTCACAGAGATGACAAATAATCACTGTTGAAAGTAAATAAAAAGGCAACTTAACGTTATATCTGTTTATAGTGTCAAACAGAGAGGTGCTTGTTACGCAACCAAGTTCAAGCTCATCCTCTATTGACTGATGGCTTATGTCTAATTGTTGTCAGTCATGAATTTGTCATTGATAAGTGGGGCAGGCATTTGCACGTCAATGCATATTAAAGGTCCTTTTACACAATTTTTTAGAGATTTGGATTAGTGTTAAGCAGTAAGACTGCTGTACTCTGCCAGTATTGTAACCACAGGAGAAATACTGCTAGAATTTGGTGACAAGCAAATGAATAATGTCATCGGTCCCATAAGAACGAGAAGTAAATGGAGAATTATTCATATACCTTGTTATAACAAATATCAATTTGAAACAAGAAAATGATACCTGCAATGATTTTGTTAAATGCACCACACTGCGCTTAGTGGCCCCATATGCAGCAAACCTACATCCAAGATATAAACAAGTACCATCACCAAGCAAGATGACTCCAAAGAGCTACCGTCAACAAGAACAAATTCTGGGAGCATAAAGGACAGAAGATGACGAAATCTATCATGCGTCATGGAGCAAAATTCCTATTTCAATTCAGTAAAATAAAGAACAACTCTCTTGTCAGGCAAAAAAAAAAAAAATAGCACTCAAACTTAAGTTTTTGACTTCAAACATAGTGGGGGCAATAACAATCCCTTACAACATCAAATTATTAAAAAAAAAATATCAGAAACTGGTGATCTTGAATGGATAGTCCACATGCAGGTTTTTATGAAACTTAAAAGCAAAATCATCATATTTACCTGGGAGTTGGTCTTCCATCTGCACCAGCTCCATCCATGTTGAAAACATGACCCCCTCTAGGCTGGCTTAGCATCATCTTAATTGCCTAGAAAACAACCTAGAATTAGATGTTATTCAAATGAGAACCGCAAACGAAAAATACAAATGAACTTATAGATATACATGTATATTACCTCACGACAGCAAAGCATCAACCCAAGAGAATTTGTTGTAACTACTTCTCTGCAGAAAGAAGTTACATATGTAGAACTGGATAAGTAAATGACAAAAGCTGAATAAATCAGAAGAGACAATATGGTCAGGAATGATGCCACAAGAAGAAGCAGAGATGGGACAGAAAGCTCACAAAAGATCTTCATCTGAAGATTCTGCTAGTGCTTTATGGCTATATGCATTTGATCCAGCATTGTTGATCTGCATTATTCTCAAAGTCAGTAAGATGGTGACTGAAAAAGGATTTCTGAAAAACAATCAACCACAGGTACAATAAAGCAAGGGATCAAATCATTGTTGGGGACCGGATAAATAACAATTATAGGAGTTAGATGCCTTGCTATTCCAGACGTAAGTATACTGCTAATTAGAAGTCTTCACCAAAATAAAAAGTATTGTCAGTACTATCTTGCACTTCAGCTAGCAAAACAATATTCCTAACGAAAACCAATTCATGGTATTTATTGACCGACCTCTTACTTAGTGAAACTACATTCAGTTGAAGTAGCAGAGGCAATCACCAAACTCGTGTCAGTTTATCGGAAAGATGGGTCCTCAATCACCTACATTGTTTCTTGGACTAATTGAGAATAATAGAATGCAAATGGAAATCCCTTCTCAAGAGTCAGGCCCATCTGTTCCTGAGTCAGGAAAATAGAAAAATCCTCGAGCTGCTTCATGGCATGAGAGGATAGAGGAAACCACTTTTACACATTCTTCCATGTTCCACCTTTCATCCACCAAAGCAAAGACGCATACAAAAGCACTCAAATTAGAAGACAGTTTGCATACCCATATGTCGATGTATTTCAGTTTCTCTTGTGCATACCCTACCAAACTCTTCACATCCTGACCTTCACGGACATCGCATTTTGTACCCTAATTGGAAGAAAAGGCCATTGAGACGATGCCGAAACCCCCGATGCAGACGGGAAAAATTTACAACATCCAGTATGTGAGAATATGCGATAAGGAGGTCATGGAGTAGGTACAAACACATGCTGCTCCCCGAATTCTTGTCTAAGGTCCTGAACAGCACATTCCACTCTCTCCACTGGAAAGAAAGAGAAAAAAAAAAGACTCAACAATCTTTAAAACCTCGACCCAACATGAAATCGACAGAGCGAACGCCTGCCGCACACGCGACATCGCGAACCGTGAGATGGTCACAGCAAGGTGGTGAATTTACGATAGGTAGGTGCAGTAGGAGAAACACTAGACCTGATCTCGAACAGACTACGACGTTGTCTCCCGCTTTGAGGAACTCCTTAGCCAGCGCATAACCTATGCCTGAACTCGAGAAAAGAAAGAACAGGACAATCCAGAACCAACGTCACTCGCTGCCAAACCTTAAAAAACCTCCACTTCAACTTCAACTTCATGCCCCACGAGATAGAAAGCATGCGAAACGAGAGAGAGAGAGGGGCCAGACCTTTGGTGGAACCTGTGATGAGGACATTGTACGGAGGAGTCATGGGCTCTCTGCTCGTCGCCGACGATTCCGCCCCCGCCATCGAACCCACGGAGCTGGCGCCGTCGAGGCGGGGCGGCGTCGAAAGCTCGCGTCTTTGGCGGGAACAGACGGCGGGACGACGGCGAGCGCTGGGGATGCGGCGGCGAGAGCGAGAGAGGGGAGCGGAGGGGAGCTCGCGGCGAGCCGTCGGGGACGGAGGCGGGGGAGCGAGGAGGAGAGCACCGGCGGCCGCCATTTGGAGGACGAGACCAGCACACTCGCGACCGAGCTTAACGAGAATGAATTGAGAATGGCAGACGAACTCAGCTCACCGGACGGGGGAGATTCACGGTCATGGAGGAAGGAGAAGATTGAGATAGAATGGATCAATAATTCGAAAAAATATATATATTTTTTAAAAATAATTATTTGTACTACTTACGTAAATAAATAAATAATAAGTATTTTCGATGTTCACATGAAAGAAAATTAATCGATTTATGAAAAATGTAATTCGTTAACCGAAAACAACAAGGTTATATTAAACGAAAAATGATTTCTCGTTATGACAGGAAGGAAAGCCACTTTTCCTAAAGTACACAAACAGTCCTTAAACTTTACCTGAATATGCAATGTGGTCCCTTAATTATTAATTTGTTCAACGCGATCATATAATATGATTCTTGAACTTTTATTAAATATCCAATCTAGTTCATGAATTATTATATCCCTGGATTTAATCTAGTCTTTGGATTATCTAATTCAATGGCTAAATTGAATATGTACGGAAAGTTCAAAGATCACATTAAAAAATTAAAAGTTTAGAGACCGTATTACATATTAAAGTAAAGTTCAATGACAATTTGTGTTATTTTTTCCTCTCTAAACCGCCAGACAAATGAAAACTAACAGTTCTCCTTAAAAATGATTTCCATGAAAAATATTTTTCTTAATCATGAAATTTTCTCCAACCAAATGAACTCTAAACAAGTTTCACGTTCTAATCATGTTGTAGTCGAGCAAATAGTAGGTGTTTTGAACAAATAGCTTCTAACACAACGGGCGGGGCTCAACCAATATCACGGCCCTTGTGGTTCGCTAAGCTCGCCGAGACCCGCCGTAGCCCGCCGGCCCCAGTATAAAAGCAGAAGCAGAAGTTAAAAGCATGGTAGTATGCTAATGTCCGTACAGTTGACGAATTCTTTGCCACCAAGAACCAACACACGAACAATTATTGAATTTGAAACATGTTATTGAGATTTTATATTTGTTCCTTGGTATGACCTAAGGTGGGTTTTCAGAATCCTTCCAGAGACCTACAGTTAAACAGTCCTACTACATATTACGCTCTCCTGAGGGATCGATGAACAAGCTACACAACAATGTTTAGCTCATCTCGATGGGATCTCTGTTATTCATCCTATATATACAACAAAAGAATGACAAACTGTATTGAAACCGGTGTTTTCAGGAAGTAGTCACCCGAGCTTGGTTACTGCGACCCCCCCGCTGTGAGGAGGCATCCCTTCTACTGAAAGCTACGGGGCTTGGAGCTGTCCATATGCAGTTCATCGTCCTGGGACCATATAACATCCCAAATTCGATGACATAGGATCCGGCCCGAGAATCAATGGTCCGCATGAGATTTCGAATGCGGAAAAGTGGCATTGTCAAGCCCTCAACGAGGATGTCTCTTTGATCTTCTCCGTCTGCCGAGGAGTTTCAGCATGTTATCGGTGACATCAAGTGGGGATTTGTCATCTTCATCACGGGTATCATCTGAAGTGTGAGTTAACCATGCTAATGCTTCAATAGCAGCCTCCCTCTCCGCGAGCTGCTTATTTTTCTTGGGCTTCCCAACAAATTGCATTCCCTTGAACTCTACAAGTGCCCTGAACTCGTTCGTCTTCAGGTGCTTTGTTTTGTACTTCGGAGGAGAGTGCCCCGCTCTCATCAGCAGAGTTTGGAGCAAGCTCTTAGGATTTGATCCGTCTCTTGTGAATTTGCTGCCATCAGTAGGTTCCTTGGGCTTCTTGCTTTCTCGGCCAAACACAAATCTCCCTTCACATTGGTCCCCAGAAACGAGCTCTTGCACAGCAAGCATTAGATATTTCCCTTCCTTGTGAATGTCCAAGCAGGGATCCTGAAGCTGCAGCACCAATAAGGTGACCAAATCAATTTATCTTCTCAAGTGAAGTATGATTTCTAGAATTCCAAAATGTGTCTGCACAAGGGCAATATAATGCTGGCATAGACCATATTACAAAAACCAAGGACCCAGCCATGAATGTGAACCTACCATCACTGAATACAATATCAAGATCAGAAGGAAATGATCACTCATCAGTTACCGAAGATGTATGGGTAGTTGTGTAATGAGATCACGGTGGAAGGCTGTCTTTCTGAAATGCGTGTTCACTTTGCATGCAGAATGAACTTTCATTTAGGTATGTCCATTTCATTACTTCTGGCCTTCTAATGTGCTTGTGAATTATACATTTCCGTCCGGTTTTCACAATTCTCATTCATTCTCCACGACTGTACTAAAAGGAAGAGAAAAAAACAGAAAGATTCATTAATCATTTTTCTTTTTACCTTCTTTTGAAGCAGCTTATCAAGCTCCTCCTTAAGCTTCACATAGCACTCTGCCAAACTCGGACCCATGAAAAAGTCAATATACCCTTCCAGCATTTTCAGATGCCCAACCTAGGAAAAGGCAATTTAGCTATTAAAGGAGCCAAGCAATAATATTTTTAATAACAGAAGAAAGATGACTATCTTTCAGCAGGAATCACCTGTACTCCATGGCTTAGAGCACCACCAAATAGCATCAAAATCGAATCAGATACACCAGTTGAATCACGAAGGAAGACAGTATTCACTTTAATCTTTTCTCCAAACACTAGCCATGGATAAGGAATTGTCTGGTAGTTTGCATTGACAGAGTTCTACAGAAGAAGATTGCTAGTATTCAATGAAAAGATCACATGTACCCTAGGAAACAGCTGATGAAGATGTAAATTACTTCTGATACAGCAACATCTTTGCAAAATATTCAAGAAATGCATGAAAAATAATCTAATACAATCAAGTGATAGGAGAACAGCATTATGAAATTAAAAAACAGTTTCGCCCCACTGAGATGACTTCCAAGATTCAAATATTTATCTATTACTATCAATTCGTCGAAGTACAAGCACATACAATGAAAAAGTGCTTCACATCTATATCAATTTCAAACTAGGGAAAGAGTGGGGTTGGTTCTGTACAATATCCAATACTCCGAAAGTACATAAAACTGTCCCACAGACTTCGAACATGAGACAGATGGCAAACTTCACATACCGCGTAAAGTAGCACCTGGCCATCATCCATTGTTTTGAAAGACATGGACGTCTCCCTGTGCTGCAAATATTAAGAGGAATTATAGTGTTGTAGAGATGCACGAATTTCTAATAAAAAATCAGAGCTAAATTTTCAATTTGTAAGAACTTACAACTACAGACGCAATGCCAGGAAAGAGGCCACAGCATATGATTGCACGGACAAGTGACTGATTGTGGCTTAATTTATTATTAATACTTGAATCAGCTTCTACCAAGCCAGCATCTTTTAATATGAAACTAAACTGCTTCCTAAGAGAATGGATAGCTTGCAGAGTTTGGAGAGAGAGGAAATTCCTCCAGCAGTACTCATAAGCCGAACCTTCTCTCTCTGCATCTTTCCATCCTTCATATGCACGAACAAGAGCCATGTGGTCACTGTAGTCCTTTGCAGAGAACCTTGATTTTGCTGTCCCTGCTAACTAAATATTAACAGAAGTATCAGCTGATGAAGTGCATCGCAATAGGAAGATGATTAAACTATTGGCCAGGTCAATTGTTCGATTACACAGATGCTACACAAGAAGAAGAAACTAATAACTGCTTCATATAGTTGAGCCAAATATTAAGACATCTAATCTAACGTAGAATAGGAAAAATAAAATAAAATGCACTGCAGAGGCTGTGCCACATGTCGAAATGTTCCTTCTTCTTATGGATGCACGGGACGACCGATGTGCCATATCAGATCCATAAATGGTTTCTCCTTTCTAATTGCTCAAATTTATTTCAAGATTAGCCGGTTTGGAGACCCATGGTAGCATGGGCTTGCAAATAATTTTTAATATGGTTGATGAATCATGCTCAAGGACAAGTATGACAAGTATAAAAGGGAAGTTAGTCCATAAAGAGATTAATAATTTAAGATGACCAAATGAGCCAGTTTGAGGAAAAAAGAGAGCGAAATTTACGTACCTCCTTTTTGTCTTGAGGCAAAAGGAAAGGATCTCTCACACTGAGTGCTGATACTATGGTAAGAATAGGATCAAAGCAACGAAATATGGCACCCATAATTAGCATTTTCCCCAGCTTCGGATCAACTGGAAGAACTGACAAAAATTTCCCTGACAGAATGAAAGGCAGTTAACATGATTGAAATTCGATCACAAATAAATTCTGAAAACTGCTGCATATAGTGAGCATGCATATTGTCATTCAAAAGACTGAGAAACTAACCGAGATTTGTAAGATTTTCCTTCTCATCCAATGCCCCAATCATTTTCAAAAAGTCAACAGCATTTTGGACCTGTCATGAAGAACATGAAAAAAGTTATGACGGAAAAAGCCTAGTAAATCCATTAATAAAGCAAGATAAGAATCTAAAAGGAGCCATTACTTACAGTAAGTGGTTCTGGTGGCTGTAGTGCAGCTGATAGGAATTCCCCTATACTGGCAACCTGCAAGCTTTTTATTTGCAGGCAAAGAGAGTTCAGAGGAGTTCTCAAAAGTTCAGGAAGCTGATACTCAGCAAATGCTTCATAAACACAGCTGGGATATAAGTGGTAACATTCGCCTGGCTGTACACGGCCTGCTCTACCCCTTCTCTGTAAGTCGAAACAGCAACCCACAAATTTAATACTGTTAGATAGGTTAGGATCCTAGGGTAAAATAACAATCACCATATACGGAAAATGTACATTTAGATCCATACAATTACCACACTGTCCCACCAAATAATCTCTCTTCAGAAATGATTGCAATGTCTGGGAATGCCTCTCTAGGCAAAAGTGCATACTAACAACAAGGTTAGAAGAGACACACCTGTTTGGCAGATGCTTGTGATATCCAAGAAGGTAGTAGACATGGTGTATTATTCAATGCATCATAAGTGGTCTCTTTCGCTTTTCCACAATCAACAACAAATACTACATCATTGATTGTAATACTTGCTTCGGCCATATTGGTGGCAAGAACTATTTTACGCACGTTGAATGGTGGTCTCTCGAATATTTGTTTCTGTGGAAAAAGAAAAATACAGAGATAAAGCATTAGGAAAGTTCCAAAAAAGGAGAGTTATCTTGCATATTCATTGTAGTCTCTTTGCTAGCGGATGTCAATATGCAACTAATACTAGGTGCAGCGACCTAGCACTTGGCCACCAATTATATCGAGAAGCATCCTGTTTACCATTTTCTGTTTCTGTTTAACTTGTTTGATAGTTCTCGCAAAGCATGTGAATAGAAGTTTATCACTTCCCACCTCTGTTGCACTACTTTGTAAGTCATTCCTAGAAGTGAGGGCACTTACATAAGGTTTAAAAACCAATTTTGAAGGCAGCATCCTGCCTGTGATTTTTCTATAAACACCATCTAAGACGCAATTTTCAACTCAGCAAACATGTCATGGCAATGACACACTGATGACACCAATAAAGTCAACCATTAATAAGGCATTATCATCTTCATCCAGTGACAGCAAATAAACAACATAATAAAAAGCCACAACATGCTTTATTTGTGATAATAGCAACTTTCTTCACATTGAAGTCATCAGCATGATAGCTGATAGTACCAAGCAAAAAAAAAGGGAAAGCTGCATTACTGATTGGACCCGCATGTGCAGTTAAATATTTCCAAGTAACAAGCACATCTACAAATCTTTCCCAAGTCCTTATGATAATATTGCTAGTGTGAAGAAATATACAGAAGCAGTCCTACCTGTTCAGATGTTGCCATTGAACCATGACATGTTAGGAGCAGAACCCTGTTAGGGTCTCCTAGAAGAGGATGCGCTTTGAGTTGATCCCTTAAGCAGCTTATATCCTCCCATCCAGTCATGAAAACTAGCACAGCACCTGGTCTTTCTTTTCGACATATGTGGCATAACACTGCCTCAATAAGATTGAAACCTATGCAGTCGGGTGTCCAACATGATAAAGAATCACGCACTCTAGAGCTATATTTTTCAAAACTTGATTTAGTAAGAACATCCTGCGGATAGAAGTAACATAACGAATTAGAACAGGCATCATATATCTCACAAAAGTAGTTATTACTAGAGATGACAGTAGAAGTGTCAAACCTCGACAAGAGCAGTAATCTGGTTTTTCTTCTTCCGTGGAGTTAGCTGTCTCTGCGTTTTCCACAATTTATCTTGACCATAATCATCTAATTGATTGAATGAGGTCAACTTGTATCCAGTAATTTCCAGTACATCTTCTAAAAAATGAGCTCTCACAGGATATGTGAATCCCTAAAATCCACAGTTTCCACTCAAGTCAAATCATCGGTAGACTGTTTACCACCCGAACAAAAACTCAACCAGAGTAAATTCTATAATGAACTATTTCATTATGTAGGCAGGAAGCTAGAAAAAAAGCTGCTGTTGTGACAATACAAGAGAATCAAGAGCAAGAGAAATACAAGAAAAATAAAAAAGAAAAATAGACTAGAAAAACTCAGAGCAAGCAAATAGAGAGCCAAAGGAGGTGGAAGTGGCTTTCCATGAACACAGGAAGATCAGCTCGCACAAAAGAGGTAATGAAAATCTAAAGAATCTCTCCCATGTGGGATGGAGTAACTCAATGCGAAAGTTGTTGTCACTTTCTCACCACCAAGAAAATAGGGTCTCATTCTTTAAAGGACATCAAAATCAAATAAACTTGTACCATAGAAATATTACTCCCAAACAATCAAAATTAAGGATTGCCAAGTTCGTAGAGGTGACTTTTCCCCAGACACTGTAATGGATTCTACTCACACTAGTATCTGCCCACTTTATAGCACAAGGAAATTCCCAAGAATCTTGACTTCCAAGGTTAGAAAAATGTTTCGTGAAGATCATACATTATGTTACAATTTCCATTGTAAGGAGGGAGATGAAAATTCTCGGAGATTTAGGTATGCCATATATCAACTGCAATTTAAAATTTGAAAAGTTCCACTATTCCAACTTCTTTGGAAAAGGCAGGACGAAAACTTTCAAAAGTTGAGACTAGCTGATCCTAAGAAAATTCGTCCCACCTTTAGGGTAAACTGGAATCAATAATCAGAACTAGTAATCCTCACTGTATCTTCAAAGACTTTCTAAGAACAACATGGCATGTTTCAGTGGATGAATTGTGACAATAGTAATTTATGTCGTATGGCTAACCAAATTTGCTAATGAAATTCACGGTCCTCTTTTCATCCCCATCAGATGCAAGAATATTAACAATGACCAACTTCATTTATTTGCTCTTATCGATAGAAGAATGATCAAACCGATGAATTTCACAATAATTTGGCTAGACAAGACCATTTTCGAAAGTGACACCCACAGAGAAACCACAGAACAGACCCGACAACTGCAGATAAGGTACTTGAAATTAGTGGCATCCATAGACGCAAGTTTTTACCGGTATATGAATAGTTGGGGCACCTCCATAATAGGTGGAGAATAACTCTGCATTCAATGTGGCACTCATCAATATTAATCTCAAATCTCGACGGCGTGGAAGAAGTTCCTTTAGGACAATCAAGAGGAAGTCTGCAAATGACATGTAAGAAGTCAGAACACCAAAGCTTTTACCACTTTTAATGAAGCTAGAGGAACACGAATTCGTTAACAACTGCACCTTCATTCATGCCTCTCTCGTGAATTTCATCTACAAATACATGGGTTATACCATTCAGGTTCCGATCACTAAGCAATCGTCGTAGCAGAATTCCACTGGTACAGAAGAGCAGATGTGTATTCTTTCCCTTCATCCCTTCTAGCCGAACTTTATAGCCAACCTATCAAGAAATCTGTGTTGTCGTATAGCAGAACCAATAGAAAGAATTTAAATAAAAGTAACAAATGACATGAACAAAAATTGTGATGCACTTTAACTAGGGAAAAGACTCACTGTTTCACCAAGAGGCTCTCCTCTCTCAGCAGACACTCTTTCGGCAACTGCCATAGCAGATATTCGTCTAGGCTGAGTGCAAATTATGCTGCAAAATGCTCCCCTACCAGATTCTATTTCCGACTCCAGGATGTATTGAGGAAGCTGAGTGGTCTTGCCACATCCAGTCTCCCCAGATATTACAATGACCTACAATGGCCAAAACAAAGAGGTAATAAGAAAACCCACTTGCATTTCCATGATCGTAAATAAATCAAGCAAGCCAGACTCCTTCCAACAAACTGAGCTTCTCCAGACAAACAAAGAATAATTAATAAGCAAAAAATTTTAGAATTGTGCCCAAAAAGTTCGATGCCAGTGTTAAGATAAAGCTAAACATTATTTGCTTAGATCTGTTAATGAGAAAACGAGGCATGGTTCTAGCTTACAAGAAACTTATGTGCTTAAGCTGTAGCCCAACCTAGAAATCCACAGGGTCATGTATTATCCAAATGGAAGAGAAAAGAAGATGTACAACAGGACCATTACTGGAATGTGCATCGTAAACATCTTTCACTAGAATCTGACTTAATGGTTAGATCTCAAAGGACCAGCACTTCTTGTATAGAGTTTTCCATCCAACAATAGGGCATAGTAGGATATTATTGACCACCTTCATTTCAGTGACTCAGCTCTACTGAACTATGGATGGAGATACTCATTGAAAGCACAAGAAACAAATAGAACATAAGACCAGACCGAGACACACAGTTTGTCTCGATTCAATAAAATCAGACTATGTTTCGTAAGAACCTGATTCCTCGCTATCGCCTGAAGCAGCCTATCCTTCTCCCTGAATGCAGGTAGAGATTTCCGAAAATCCACCATTTTCCTGCCCTCTGGTGACTCCTGTCAGGGAAGAAAAGGAGGTAGATTAGATGGTATCATGCAGAACTTCGGAGTATGACTTTCGTGACATTACAGTTATTAAATGTGGCCAGCTTCCATTTCTGATCACAAAAAGAAGAGTGAGCCCAAACAGGATTTTCTTCACTATCCACATCAAGAAGAAAAAAAAGCTAGTCTAGGATTCAAATGAATCTGCTTAACCGCGATGATCTAATAAGAATCAAGAGTTTCAAAATTTAGTGCCAGCACATAAGTGGAATAAGCTCGACAACATTCCTCTCAGGAATATACAGGAAGTAAAATTAATTATTGCTGTGAACCGAATGTGCTGCAAGGATGGGAGTAAAGACATTGATCAACAGGAAACTACCAACCTTCAAGACCAATGGCCTCACTACAACACAAGTGGTTTAAGTTTAACTAACGGTATAACCTCAAACAAGCAATGTTAAGACAGCAAAATTGGGAAAAATACCAACAGATAAATACCAAACTTTAGTACACTCGAGCACTTGGAGTACCAGGAGAAAAAAGATCATTACAAAGTAAGTTATGATTCACACCTGCCAAGCTCTTTGCATGTTACGCATCCGCAAGCTCCTCCTCTGGAGTACCTTTTCCATGACAGAACCATCAAGAAATAAGTCTGGATTGTCATCTGGATTGATCTCTTCAATGTGATCTGCTGACTTAACAGCACCTGCGTCCTCGCCTTCTTTACCAACTCGTAATTGGATCCTATCAAGGTGTTCCTGAAGTAAGCCCTCTACTCTCCTTTGCAGGCCTAGAGGGATAACCACCTGTAACAAATAAGGCAGTTCAGTTCTACTTGAAGGATGAAACTTAGAGGTCGTGAGTACCGAGGACTTTCACTACTCTTTACGAGCTCCACAAATTTATTACCTCTCTTTGAGGCCGCTTGTCATCAAGATCTCGCCTGTAGTTTGGGAGAGGAACCTTGCTTGCAACCACTACCTTTCCATAAACTTCGCTGTAAGAGCATACAAAGTCGAATGAGAAAGGAAAGTCATAATTGGAAGAAAATTGATCAATGCACAAGTCTAAAGTAGCCACTGCTTCTTAACCTGTAAAGCCCCATCCTTTTCGCGAGATTAGAAATCTGCTCATAGTCTCTTCTATCTCTTTTATCTCGAGACACAATTTCCTGGTCCTTTTCGCTGCGCGAGAGCAAGCTGAGCTTCCACTTCCACTCATCAATGTTCGCAACCGAAGATGATGCCTACAAAGGAGACACAGTTTTCAAGACATGGAACAACCAAATGTTTAACTTTGATTTCAAACGACATTCGACCAAGCCCAAGAGCCAAAGAATGCGCCAAAACAAACACAACTTGTTAAAAAAGAATCACTTTCTCCTCATCAAAACCAAACCCATCTCCAAAAACTGTACATTCGACTAAAATTCAACCGAAACTGAAAGGAGAAGAAACAAAGAGCAAACCTTGTGGCCCTCGAAGTCGACCTCGTACTCATCGTCCGAGAACTGCTCCGCGGCATAGCCGCAAAACCATCGCCTCGTCGCAAGAAATCTCCCTTCGCAAACCGTTGCTTCGGTAAACAGACCGAGCAGGGAACTGCAGACCCTGCTCCGCTTGCTGACGAAAGCGCAGGGCATGGGCTTGGCGGTGCGTCCCAGAAGAGCGCATCTCAGCATGATGCTAGGCATGTTACCGAGGAAGGCGACCGAGGCGTCTCCATCTAAAGGCTGGATGGAAGAGCCGAAGTCGCCAATTCTTCAGGCATTGGCAGCCTCTCTCTCTCTCTCTCTCTCTCAAGACTGAAGCAAAGTGTTGGCGCTCTCTCTCTCTCTCTCTCTCTGGTTTCGGTCATTTCTTGGGCTGTTCCTGAGAAAGAGGGGCCATGACAGGCCCAAAGCGAATCGGCCCATTCGAGAAGATGCTAAAGGTGCTCTGCAAACCGCAGCAGAAGAGCACAAAAGGTCGGCGTCGTCGTCTTCCTTCTCCTTTCTCTTGCTCCTCCTGCTTTCTTTCTGTGCAGCGTGCGCCGAACACCGGAGACGCCTTCTCCGCCGGAATTGAATCGGTAAAGAGACTCGAATTCCTACCTTCTTCCCCCTCCCGTGCCTCGTGCTTGGGTGTTGTTTCCCGGTCATCTGAAGTACCGGGTGAATTTGTTGCTTCCCCCCACCTGGTTATTCTTCTTCTTCTTCCTCCTCTTCTACCTCTTCTTGATTGTGTCGATATTCGGAGTCCTGCTCTGTAACTAGAAATGATTTGCTTCTGCTGATTACTGCACACGATGCTGCTTCTTCGATCAAGACCATGTTGCCTCTGTGACTTTGGGATGTACCGCTACTGTTGTGACATGATTCGGCTTCTTTTGAAATTGCTCCAGTTTCTCTGTTTGTTTGCTTGGTTACATGACGGTGCGGCTTCTCTTGTTGCAGGTCTGATCGATTTGAGCTCATTCTGAAAGAGAAGGAGACATGTCGAAGACGCTGGTGCAGCCCGTCGGGCAGAAGAGGCTGACCAACGTGGCCGTTGTCCGGCTCAAGAAGCATGGGATGCGCTTCGAGATCGCCTGCTACAAGAACAAAGTCCTATCTTGGCGCTCTGGCGTGTGAGTCTCTCTCTCTCTCTCTCTAACTCCTCGGACGATGCGTGCTTGTTTGCCATCTTCTTTGGAACTGTATTGAGTTTAAAATGACCTATACGCCGCTTGCCGTGTTAAATTTTGAATGGTCACTTAGCTGCGTAGGAGAATTACTTCTCCATGATTCTTTGTCTAGTATTTGAAATTTGAGTTACATGTATGTGAGCATCAAGAATGTTGAAGATGGTGAAAAATATAATTTCTTTGTGTTTTCGATTGATACTTCTTCATATTCACTCAAACTGTGGAAGACTCCCTGTTGATACTTGCTTCTATGTTTCAAACATTATATAGAAGGGAAGCATTTTGCGATGTAGATATAAATTGTTGCTTTTCGTGGAACAGCGAGAAGGATGTAGATGAAGTACTCCAGTCGCATACTGTGTATTCAAACGTTTCAAAAGGAGTTCTTGCCAAGTCAAAAGACCTAATGAAATCCTTTGGGACAGATGATCAGACAAAAATATGTTTGGAGGTCAGTGACATTATATTGTGGATCATTACAAGGAGAAAATCATGTGTGTACAATATTCTCTGGGGGTGAATTAGAATAGATGTCTGCAGTTTGCAAGTCTTACCACTTCTGTTATTTGCATTTAATGCTCATGTAGATTTTGGATAAAGGAGAGCTTCAAGTTGCTGGAAAGGAGAGGGAGATCCAATTCGCAAGTCAGTTTCGAGATATTGCCACAATTGTTATGCAGAGGACGATCAATCCTGAAACTCAACGCCCTTATACTATTAGCATGATTGAACGACTAATGCATGAAATTCACTTCGCTGTTGAGCCAAATAGCAACTCAAAGAAGCAGGTATCAAGATATTCAATTTTGATGGACTTATAATAGAAATCTTGTTAAAAAGATGGACTTGCAGAATAATGTTTTTCTTCGGTTAAACTTTTAGAATATCATGAACTTGGTGTTATAAATGTCTGTTTTCATACTATATAAGGCCTTGTCATCTTTAGAGTATCATGATATTTTACTGTTGGATTTTCTTATCTTTTCTTTTCTTTTTCGTTTCTTTCTCAGTTAAATTTCTATGGTAAATAGCTTTTCCCGGTTTCACATATTTACAGAGGAATTTTTGGACATTTATATGCAGAAAATAGCAAGATCTGACATCTATATGCTCATATTAACACAAACATTAAATAGTACAAAACCTAATGGAGGAATCAATCTTTTGCAGCGCTTCACATCGCTATGTTTTTTTCGCTATGTTTTTTTTTTTTTTTTTTGATAACCCAAGGAACCCCCGCACGGCCGACAGCCGGGGAGTAAACCCTGGGGGCGACACGTGCTAGCCACCACACACGTGCCACCGGTTAAGTCACCCTGCAGCGCCCGGGATTCGAACTTCACATCGCTATGTTTAATAAGCTTATATCCTAAATTCTCATGCAGGCACTGGAAGTTATACGTGAACTTCAAAAGCATTTTCCAATAAAAAGAGCTCCTATGAGGCTCAGATTCACCATCACTGAACAGAATGTTTCTTCGCTCCTGGAAAAGCTCAATGCCTGGAATGCTAGTATCGTTTCAAGGGATGAATCTGCAAGTCAAATATCTGTTGTAAGTCTTAGACCATGGTTCTTGGAAGAGTTGCACTTACACTACATAAGTCATACATGAAAACATATCTGAATTCGTGAACTCTGAAATTATGTTCTTCACTTTTGCATGCATTTATTGGGTTGTCCCCATCACAGAATAAAGTGCATATCTAAGAGTATCTCTAATAGGGTGATTCTTACATACCGACTTTCAACGTTGGATGACGGTTAAGACGACTTCTTTCTCGTTTGATTATCATTTTTCATTTCCTTTATCCCCCTTTTAGGAGCTTTTTTTCTCTCATATTAGCTTAAGCTCCTGCTTCTATTAGGGTAGGCTCTTCAATTTACCAGTTTCTCTAATTTTTACTTGGTGTTGTTCGTAGTTTTCTGCGATGAGAATTAATGACATCTTCTATGTGCATAGATGTTTGGCCGGGGACAATATGCCTCTATGTATATGTACTCCGTGAGTCTGGAATTTTCTTGTCAAGTGATGAAGTTTGGACTAATATCCAAAACCCCTCTTTAATGGAAATAAATTGGATCTCTTCTATATTGTTTTCTTGCACCTAGGATGACAAGAAGTACATTCTTTTTTATGCATTCCAGATCTGCTCTAGATAAGTTGAGATGATGTGGTAATAATCCTAAGCTAGTGATGCTCTGTGCAATGAGGATTAGTCTTGTGTGTTTAGGTATGATGTGCCTTTGTTTACGAGCACACGCATTTTATGCAGGTATGTGAAATTGAACCAGGATTCTACCGGGACTGTGAAGCCTTGGTAAGAAACTTGCAGGGGAGAGTGGAAGTTCTTGCATATTCTGTGCATGCTGAAGGGGATACCCAAGTGGACCATTATGATGATCACGAGGACATCCCATCCCAGTCTGAACCCGATTCGGTAGTCCAGCTAAGTGAGAGGATGCAGAAACAGACGCTCACGTCTAAAAAGGAGAGCACGGAGGACGAAGTAAAGCAGAACAAGTGCAGCACATGCAATGCGTTGGTAGGGGACACAAAGCAGTACAGGGAGCACTTCAAGAGCGACTGGCACAAGCACAATTTGAAGCGGAAGACCAGGCAACTCCCCCCTCTCTCAGCGGGAGAGTGCATGGCTGACATGGACTTGGACGACTCGCGAGCAGATTTGAAGGATTACTCATTTTGAGGCTGGTTTTGAAGCTACTGAGGCTTGGTTTTTGTGCAGTCGATGCATATACCCAAAATATATTTTAGTACAGAGTAAAACTAAGTCTAGTAAGTATTGTGCCCTCCGCTTACTTCTTGGCATATAGTCCTGGGGGCAAGTCAGATGGGTCGAATTTATCAAACACTTGTGTTCACTTTATTCCTTGTTCATCGTGTTCGGTCATCAAGTTGGCCTCGTATTTCTGTAAAAGAGTTGAGCAGAAATTTTCCGAGGAATGTGAAGCAACCACACCAAGTTCCCGAGGACTCGATGAGTCTTACCGTGCTTTTCCTGTGGCCTTATTCTTTAGTATTCGAAGCCAAATGGATTAGCTTGATGAACAGCATAGTTTGCGTACTTAAGATTATTGTGAAGCCAATCGATCCAATGACACTAGCATACTGAATCAGCCACCAGTTGGAATTGATTTTTGATAATTCCTAACTTCTTCTTATCATGAATGCAAGGTTTTATTGAAGAAACAGAAAAGGAAGAAACCAATTTAATGAAAACGCAAAACTTCATCAGAAGTGCTCCAAGTTTTCCATGACCAGGTTACCTATTGGAAAGACCATGGAAGAAGTGAATGTTGCGATTCACTTGCTTTGATTGTCGAATTTTCGCGGTTCAATTCAGTTGATGTGTGGATGACATTTGGAGTTGCATTGAATTTTTTAGGGACAATCATAAGGCAAGTCCTTGAGCCCTAAAAATTTATGTTTCGAGCATTTAAATCCTAAAACTCGCAACTTTGATGTACTTGCGGCGTCTATTTAATTCCTTTAAGACGCCTCCATTTAATTATGCTAAGACGAAGTGGACGGAAAATGCCACGTGGGTTATTTTTTCAATCCTACGCGACTCTTGATGAAAAAAATGTTGCGTAAGCTTTCATCTATTAAAACCTAACGGAGCTAATGAAAAAAATTAAAGTAGACGATTATGGTAAGTCTTAGGACATTTAAAGTGCGTCAATTGATGATCGGTAAGCTCGTCAACTCGGAAAAGATTAAAGTAATGAAAAGATTCGTTACTTAGTCACCAACTTTTAAAATGTGTTAGTAAATTGATGATCGGTAAGCTTGCCAACTTTTAAATCTAACGGAATGAAAAGATTCGATACTTCATCACCAACTTTTAAAATGCGTTAATAAATTGATGATCGGTAAGCTTGCCATCCAACACAGTGATTTCACTATGAAGTTATCGGCAAAGGAACATAATTTTTTTTAACTATTGTTGTAGCATCAATTCATCACTTACCCAAATCAATTGCCTCTTATGAACCACGAAGCGATACAATCTGTCTGGGGTGACATCTACTCTTAATATTTCGAATGATTGTAAACTCTATCGTAGTAAATAATTTTTTCCGACCAAAAAAAATGTAAATAGTTCAAAACCCTGAAAATATCTACAAACTTGTTGTATAATTCCTCAAATTAAAAAAAAAATTGTTTTTTTATTATCAAGTTTTAACAGAAAAAAAAGGGACAGAAACCATAGATCACTGGAAATCCTGGATAGCTTATCTTATATTAACAAGAAAACCTACGGAAGTCCAGTCGAGACCCGAAACAGCGAAAGAAGGGTTCTTGTTCTTGCGCTTGCTCTCTCTCTCTCTCTCTCACCACCTTGACTGCGTATGGCGTCGTCGATGATGCTGTGCTCTGCCCATTGAAGCGATACAGCGAGAGCGACTATGGATGCTCCAATCATCGGTAATTCCTCTCTCTCTCCCTCGCTCTCCCTCTCTATGTCTGGGTTGTGAGGCGTTTTGCTCGCCATGTACTGCTCTCTATTTTGGGTCCGTCCTCGTGCTTTCTTCCGATTGGGGAAGGTGAGCTTACGCGGTGTGTGTGTTTCTTCGAATGAGCAGATCCGTTGCAGGGAGATTTCCCTGAAGTGATTGAGGAGTACTTGGAACATGGCATTATGAAATGCGTCGCCTTCAACCGCCGCGGTACCCTCCTCGCCGGTACCCTCTCTCTCTCTCTCGCCCACTCGCTCTTTCTCCGTGGGATTGTTTTGAAGTTGCATTCTTGACGGTGCATCTAATTCTGGGTTCCGCTAAAGCTTTGATTTTTAGCTATCTTGCTTGTGGTAGACAAGAAGATGAGTTCTTTTTGCTACTGTTTTCAAACTGGATGGTTTGAAGTTGGAAAAGACGTGGCTCGACCTCGGCACGTCTGTCGTTAGCGGAGCTCGTAAAAGCCTCTGTACCCATCCTGACCTCGTCTCGGACTGTCCGGTCTGTTTTGGGTGGAGTCATTTATTGCCGCCATTTACTCGCTTTAGAGAATGCCTTCTGATTTCCTTGCAATCTGGGCATGCTGGAAGCTTTAAGATTACTAGAAAGTTGAAAAATACGTTGAATACGTCAACAGCTCTATCTGAGAATTGTTCTGATTTTGTTCCGAGTCTAGATTAGAACACAATTATAGGTGGAAAGAAAAGTAAATATCTATATGGAGTGGAAGGTTTGAAACACAGATCTCACACTTTTGGAGTACACATTATTGATGACTAGAATCTTGGTCTTCAAACCGTTTGGTGATTTTTTAAGTTTGGGGCTACAGTTTAGAATCGCAGTGCAGACATTCTTTTTCTTGCAAGTTGTGGCATGTGGCGAGTCTTCTCTTGGTGCATCCATCAGTTACATTAGGGGATTAGCATCACATTGACTGTGCTGGTCCCTAATTTTAATCTGGAGAAGTAATTCTAGTTCCTTGATTGAATGCAATTTGCAAGTCCTTTTCATAAATTTTAGCATTCGTTTTACTCAATGCTGGTTCTGGAAGTCCTGTGATCAAAACAGTGAGCGTGATTTTTGATATCTGCATCTTTGTTTGAATTTTTTTTTTTTGGCGCTTCTTTTGAAAATTAAGGATCTTTCTGTCTGTTGTCCTATGAAGGAATCACTGTAATTCTTGATTGTGCTATTTCTTCGATCAGTGAATCATACTCAGTTTGATTTGCTTTTCCAGCTGGATGCACCGATGGAAGTTGCATTATATGGGACTTTGAGACCCGAGGCGTCGCAAAAGAGCTCCGGGACAAAGAATGCACTGCTGCAATTACGAGTGTCTGCTGGTCCACATATGGCCACCGCATACTTGTGTCTGCTTCTGATAAATCTCTTATTCTTTGGGATGTTCTAAGTGGAGAGAAGATAGCACATACAACTCTGCAGCATACAGTTCTACAAGCTCGTCTTCATCCTGGTTCCTCGACTCCATCTATTTGCCTGGCCTGCCCTTTCTCATCATCTCCCATGATCGTTGACTTGAACACTGGAAGCACAACAGCTCTTCCAGTTTTGACTGCTGATGTGAGCAACGGAATTGCTCCTCTGCCCCGTAACAAGACATCAGATACATCAGTTACTTACTCTCCGTGCAATGCATGCTTTAACAAGCATGGGGATCTGGTTTATGCAGGAACTTCAAAGGGAGAAATTCTTATAATCGATCACAAGAATGTCAGAGTGTGTGCCATCGTCCTTGTTTCTGGTGGCTCTGTTATCAAAAATATTGTGTTTAGTAGAAATGGACAGTACATGTTGACAAATTCCAATGACCGGATGATTAGAATCTATAAGAATCTTCTACCTCCTAAAGATGGATTAAAGATGCTTGATGAATTGAATGAGGGCTTCAGTGAACCAGATGATGTGGAGAAATTGAAGGCTGTTGGATCGAAGTGCTTGGAACTTCTCCATGAGTTTCAAGATTCCATCACTAGGGTCCAGTGGAAAGCACCTTGTTTTAGTGGTGATGGAGAGTGGGTGATTGGTGGTGCAGCAAGCAGAGGAGAGCACAAAATTTATATATGGGATAGGGCCGGGCATCTTGTTAAAATTCTTGAAGGCCCAAAAGAAGCATTGATGGATTTGGCATGGCATCCTGTTCATCCGATTATCATTTCTGTTTCTTTGACTGGCTTGGTTTATATATGGGCTAAAGACTATACTGAAAACTGGAGTGCGTTTGCTCCAGATTTCAAAGAGCTTGAGGAGAATGAGGAGTACGTCGAACGAGAAGATGAATTTGATTTGGTGCCTGAAACTGAAAAGGTAAATGAGCAGATTATGAGCTTGGCTTATTTTGCTTGAAAGGTTAACAATTATTGAATGTGTATGCATACAGGTGAAAGAACCAGATGTTCATGAAGATGATGAAGTTGATGTTCTGACTGTGGAGAGGGATTCAGCTTTTAGTGACTCAGATATGTCCCAGGAGGAACTGTGCTTTTTGCCTGCAGTTCCTTGTCTTGATGGTCCCGAGCAGCAAGACAAGTGTGTTGGCAGTTATTCCAAGTTGCCAGATGGTAACCATTCTGGATCGCCACTTTCAGTAGAGGCTGGTCAGAATGGAAATGGGAGCAACCATAATTCAAGCCCCCTCGAACGTAAGTTTTCTTTTCCCCGCTTGCTGTATTTTCCAAGTGTTCAGATGCTTCCCTTGTACAGCAGACTGGATTTTCCTGTCAATTCCTGCAATATAGCAATTAGGTTGTACCTGTGACTGTTGTTCTTACCTAAAGCAGATGCCTGACTTAATGTCTGCATGATATATTGCTCACCTCTAGATTTGCTTAGCAACTGCTAGGAATCTTGGTAATGCATTTTTTTCTCTGACATGGCATAGAGGCAGAAAAGACTACATTGAGTATGTGTGATGAAAATTTAGCTGACAATATAGGCACACTATTAATGGATGTTACGGAGGAGGGCAAAGGAGAGTCTCGGGAGGAGGGGTAGTAATCAAGTTGCAGGAATCTGTAGATGAAAATGTGATTTCAAAATAAGTGATTAATGGTTTTTAAGCATGTAAAAAGTAAGTGATGCTTAGGCTGTTTTGTGTTCTGTCTCTTGTGGGGAAGTTAATAGATTGTCATTCTCTGAGTTCATGTGTGGCTGAAAGATTTTTCACCTGACTTGTCTGACTTATGCAGCCATGGAGAATTCAACTGCCGAGGACACAGACGGAGCGCGATTAAAAAGAAAACGCAGGCCTTCGGAGAAGGGGCTGGAATTGCAGGCAGAGAAGGTCAAGAAACCTATGAAACCTTTGAAACCGTCTGGTCGATTGCCGAAAACTAAACAAGCTGTGATTGATCTGGATTCTAGTAATGGTGTATATGGAGACGATGGTTCTGATTGATTCAATCAAATTGCAAATTCTCATTTCATTTTCACCCGCTTGACGCAATGTTTACTGATCTCTACACTAGGCTTTGCTTTGAATGCCGCCTTTACCAGGTTCACTGAAATATTCGAAATCCTTACCGTTTGGTTTGAACGAGGGATGATCTTTTAATTCGTTTTCACCAATAGAACCATGATTACACTTGGTGATTCTCTGGTGATTGGCCAATTTCCTTCTCTTCATCTTGTTTAGTTAAAATTTGCGGGAAGAGTTGAAAATATTAAGAAGAAGGGAAATGAAGTTGGAATTGCCTCACTCATCAGTATCAAGAAGAGAGCTTGGATCAATCCTTGAATCCGTTGGATTCCAATTTGCCATCGGTTTACCATTTTTTAGTCAGTTAATGATAAGATGCTACCACCTACGCTACCTCCTCTTCCTCTCAAGACATATTTTCGGAAAAATGGAAAGAAGAAAGATGAAGTGGCGTTAATGGGGATAGTGGCTGAACAAGTCAAGCCACGTATGGGAGAAGTTAGAGAAAATCTTGGGAAATCAGCCTCACTTTCCCAGAGTGCTTCGTAGGTTTTAGTAGTGGGTTAGTCTTTCCTAGAATTTAGCAAGTTGTTGTTTTGTTCATCTTTATTTAAATGCTTCGGTTATGCACAGTTGTGGATATAAAAAAGATTATGATCTATTGTTCCCTTTCAATCCCAATTCTCCTCTCCTTCTCCGACTCTTCTTCTTCTCTCTCTCTCTCTCTCTCTCTACTGCGGGATTGCTACCATTTTGGTATCAAAGCCAGTCGAACCATCATGGTGAATACTCGTTCCAGCTCTTCGAACCTCGACTCCCAAAACCCACCCCCCAAAACACAACCAGCCCTGCTACCTACGCCTCCACACACCTCTCCGCTTACCAACCTTCCTACTGAATCCCTCTCAGTCCCACCACCAGATGCTGACGCCTCTGCCCAACAATTTGCCTTCATTGCAGCTCGCCTTGCAACGATTGATTCCCTGGTGGCTGACGTGGCAGCGCTCAAGGAGCAATCCAGCGGTGTACCACCGACCGAATCCTTACCTGGCGTTTCCAACAAGACCAAAGCCAAGGAAATTTCCTTCGGACCAAGGGCGCATAGGAAGTCAGTTTGGTCCGAGACGGAGGATGATGAGGCGGACAACCCATGGGGGCATCGCAATCAAACCCGACGGCCATACACAAAAATGGAATTTCCAAAATTCGAGGGAGGAGACCCTCGTGGATGGATACTCAAGGCGGAGAAATATTTCCGCTATTATGAAACACCCGATGAATTAAAAGTTGACGTCGCGGCAATGTACCTTGAGGGTGATGCGCTGGATTTGTTCGCTTGGATTAACAAAGAGCGGACGTTGGTCTATTGGGAGGAACTTGTTAAAGCCCTACAAGAGAATTACGGACCGGCAGAATTTCAAAATCCCGACGAACATTTGTGCGGAATACGTCAAATTGGATCTGTACAGGAGTATCGGCAAGAATTTGCCAAACGTTCAGCTCGGGTTTCCAACTGGCCGGAGCACTGCTTGTTGGGGGTGTTCGTCAATGGACTGAAGGAGGAACTCAGGGCTGATGTTCGTATTCATAAACCGCGGACTGTCTACAAGGCTATGAGCCTAGCTTTAGAGTTTGAAACCAAGCTCGGCTCGGGGCGTGGAACAAGGGGATCTAACTGGTCCAACTTAAACCGTCCTCCACCTACTGCCTCTTCCTTCCCTTTCCGTCCCACGCTAGTTGCGGGTGTTCAGCATGTCCCAACTACGGCGAATGTTAATTTGCGCAACACAGGGACATCAAATCTACCTTCCAACCTAACAACTTCAGCGCGACTTTCAGATGGGGAGCGCCAAAACCGCATTTCGAAAGGCCTATGCTTCCGATGCAACGAGAAGTTTGCTCCAGGACATCGTTGCAAGCTGTCGTCTTTTTCTCTCATGGAGACGAATGATGCGGAAGACGCTGCAGATGAGCAGCTGGTGGAGCGTGGCGAAGGAGAAGAACTCGAAACAGATTTTGCGGAAATCTCGTTACATGCGATTCTGGGAAAAGCCAGTGGCACAACCATGAAGCTTAAGGGTTCTTTAATGGGCTCGCCTGTCCTCATATTGGTTGATAGTGGATCGACCCATAATTTTATCACTTCATCGCTGGTAGCATCGATGAATATTCCCATTGAGAAGATAGTGCCTTTTGGTGTTCAGATTGGTAATGGGGAAGTCATACGATGTAATCAAGTTTGTCGTAAGGTACCAATACATCTACCGGGTTTGCAGATTACCCAGGACTTCTATCCATTCACCATTGGAGGGGCTGACTTAGTATTGGGGATCAAATGGCTTGCGTCGCTCAACACTGTGCAAGCAAATTGGAATGAGATGTTCATGATCTTTTATATAGATGGAAAGCGCTATCGGCTTCAAGGAGTTCCAGCACTATCTAAAGCCGAAGCCTCTTTTCAAGCCATTTCGAAGCTCAACGTCACCAAATCCATGGTGACACCAGGTAACCCTCCTCCACCAGCAGTAAATTCTTTATTACATGAATTTGAGGCTGTCTTCGCTGAACCCACAACACTTCCACCCTTCCGATCTCACTCTCATGCCATCCCATTACTACCCAATTCCAAGCCACCCAACATTAGACCTTACCGATACCCATATCACCACAAAGCTGAGATTGAGAAGCAAATCGATGAGCTTCTCCAAGCTGGTTTCATCCGCCCCACTTCAAGCCCCTTTGCTAGCCCAGTCCTCTTAGTCCAGAAAAAAGATAACACCTGGAGATTATGTGTAGACTATAGGGCTTTAAACCAAATGACCATACCCGACAAGTACCCCATTCCCAATATAGATGAGCTCTTGGATGAACTACACGGAGCCACAATTTTTTCCAAAATTGACCTCCGCTCGGGCTATCATCAAATTCGCGTCCATCCCCCTGATATCCACAAAACTGCTTTCCGCACCCATTCGGGCCATTACGAGTTTGTGGTTATGCCATTTGGCCTCACAAACGCCCCCTCAACTTTTCAATCAGCCATGAACGACCTTTTCCGTCCCTACCTTCGAAAATTTGTCTTAGTCTTCTTCGACGACATCCTAATATACAGCTCCACCTTGGACCAGCACCTCACCCATCTACAATTAGCCCTTGAAGTATTACAAACACATTCATTCTTGGCCAACGCGAAGAAATGTCTTTTTGGGCAACCACAACTTCGATTTTTGGGTCACGAGGTCAGCAGCCAAGGAGTTGGCGTTGATCAAGACAAAGTGCAAGCTGTGTTGAATTGGCCGATACCTAAGAATGTCAAGGAGTTGCGTGGATTCTTGGGTCTCACTGGGTATTACCGCCGCTTTGTGAAGAACTATGGATTGATTGCGCGGCCTCTTACAGATTTGACTAAGAAGAATGCATTTCAATGGTCCAAGCAGGCGGATTTGGCGTTCGATCAGTTGAAAACTGCACTCACCACTGTTTTTGTTCTTGGGCTGCCCAATTTTGGACGCCCCTTCACAGTAGAGTGTGATGCATCTTCAAAAGGAGTGGGTGCTGTCCTCTTGCAATCCGAACACCCTATTGCATACTTTAGTAACGGTTTTTCCTTTTCTAACCGTTATAAATCTACTTATGATCGTGAGTTACTTGCTTTGGGTTTGGCTTTGCAAAAATGGAAGCACTATTTGTTGGGGCGACATTTTTTTGTGAAAACTGACCATTGCAGCCTTAAGTATCTGTTGAATCAGCGCATCACTACTAACGAACAGCAGCGCCTTCTTTTGAAATTGCTCCCTTTCGACTTCACCATATTATACAAATCTGGGAAGACGAACCAAGGGGCTGATGCATTGTCACGACGGCCACAACATGCAGATTTCATGGCCTTAGCTCTGCCTGTCAATATGGATTTCTTGACCTTGCCCAATTCTTTACACCGCGATCCATACACTAAGGGTATCATTGAAGCTCTCCAACAGGATCCGTCTTCCAAACCTGATTTTCACATTGCTGACAACAAGCTTTTCAACAAAGACAGGTTGGTCATTCCGGATGATTCCTCCCTACGGTCGAAATTATTGGCCGAGTCCCATGATTCATTAGTCGGAGGGCATGGCGGTTATCTCAAGACACTTAAGCGCCTCAACTCGTGTTTTTTCTGGCCTCAAATGAAGCAAGATGTGAAGCGTTATGTTCAGAATTGCATGGTTTGTCAACAAACAAAGTACCAAACATTGGCACCAGCAGGCCTTTTGCAGCCACTACCTATTCCAGAAAGAGTTTGGGAAGACATTTCACTTGATTTTATCACAGGGCTTCCAAAGTCTGGTGGATACGACACCATCTTGGTAGTCGTGGACAGACTCACCAAATATAGTCATTTTGTTTCACTGACCCATCCTTTTACTGCCAAAACTGTGGCTGCTCTTTTTTGCAGAGAGATCGTGAGATTGCATGGCATACCCCGTTCTATATTATCCGATCGTGACCCGCTTTTCCTGAGTGCTTTTTGGCAAGAGCTATTCCGACTCAGTCAAACTAAGCTTCGAATGGGCACTTCTTACCATCCCCAATCGGACGGGCAAACGGAAGTGGTAAATCGTTGTTTAGAAGGCTATTTGCGATGTTTCGCACATGAAAGACCAGCAACTTGGAGCAAATACATCTCCTGGGCAGAATTTTCCTTCAACACGGGGTTCCATACTTCAACTGGAACCACTCCTTTCAAGGCGCTCTACGGAAGAGATCCTCCACAGCTTCACCCTTTTATTCCGGGAGAAACACACATTGCTGAACTTGAATCGCAGTTGCAGGACCGTGATGAAATGCTCAAACTTCTACGGGACAACCTTCTCAAAGCTCAATCTAGGATGAAGGCGCAGGCAGATTCCCACCGTCGAGAGCTGGTTTTTCAAGAAGGTGAAGCAGTTTTTCTCCGCATCCAGCCATTCTGCCAACGTTCCTTATCAAAAAGAAAATATGAAAAATTTTCTCCACGATATTTCGGCCCTT